TTACCTCAGTGTATCCCTGCTTCTCAGGTTCCCCCAGCTTAAAAAGCCGGCCTCATGGCGTAGCGGTTAAGTTCGGTGCGCTCCACTTCAGCAACCCAGGTTCACAGGTTCGGATCCCAAGTGAGGACCTACACCACTCGTCAGCCAAGCCATGGTGGTGACCCACGTGAAAAACAGGGGAAGACCGGCACAGATGTTAGCTCAGGGCTAGTCTTCCTCAAGCAAAAAAGGAAGATTGGCAACAGACGTTAGCTCAAGGTGAATCTTCCTCAGCAAAAAAAAAAAGGGGGGGGATAATAATACCCATACCACCATACCCTCCAAGTTGGTATGAGATTCCAATTAGATGAGGATAGGCTGGAAGCTACCTAGAAGAAAAATGGCATCATACAATTGTTAAAGTTTAGACCAGAGCGGGGTTAGGAACCAAGTCTGGGCCCCTCATTCTACAGATGGATAAACTAAGGCTGGGGGAAGGAAGTTGTCAAGGTCACACAGTGACCTGGCTTGAAAACCAGTTTCCATGTTTTTTGAGCTGGAGGAAGGAGGGGGCAAAGAATGGTAAGAAAACCTTCCCTGTGGGAGTTCAGGATATGAAGGAGGGTGAGAGCAGACCCCAGGCTTGAAGCTCAGCCCTGCCAAGGCCCAGCCAACTGACATGGCGCCTCCATTCATGAAATGGACTCATCTATGAAGTGGACATGCGATGGCTTGTTCCCAGGCCTTCAGAGAGGAGTAAATGGAATAATATGTGTTAAGCACCTGGTGCCTTTAAGTTCCCCAAACACGAGTTCCTTCCCTTCTCGTTTTAGCTTAAACAGCATCACAAATGATTTCAAAAATGGAGGCACAAAGGGAACATTTTCTCTTAGAGCTGAATGTTGCCAAAAAGACAGTTTGTGAACCTTGGATTCCCTTTCCTTTGGGGGCTTTTCTTATACAAGGAATGCGAAATGGCCCTTTTCCCCGTCAGCATAATGAGGAAGTAGAAATACTGCTGCTCCCTCCTCCCGCACCGCTTCTGCTGTACAAAATCTTCCTCACAGGTACGCAGGGCAGCAGCTTTTTCAATGGGGCTGTAGCCACAGCCTCATGGAGAGGAAAGTGATTTCTACGAGATGAGCTGAGTGGTGAAGATAATGCAGTTATGATCCAGTAAACACGCTGATTAGGGTCATTTGTGCTCCCACCCTCTCTCCCTCCCACTGTGCCTTGGCAGGCCTGGTGCAGCCTCTGCTTGGACGGAGCTTGGAGACAGCTCCGCCTGGGGCCGCTCTAAGATGGAGCAGCAGGATTTGACAGCCCAGCCAGCCCACAAGGCAGGAGGATTCCGGTTCTAACCCCTGTCCTGCCACCAGATCATTCTTCTGCACCTCATCTTTCTCCTCTGTATGTCAAAGGTGGAGATAAAAGGGCTGAACTTGGGATCTGAAGTTCCCAAGTTCAAATCCTGGACCCGCCTTTTACTAGCCACGCAACCCTGGGCCCATTACTCCATCCATTCATTCACTCTGTACAGGTTTTGTGCTACTTTCTTTTGGTCCTCAGTTTGCTCATATGCAAAGGGAAATAATGCCAACCTCAGAGATTAGTTTGGAGGATTAAGAGAAAAATACACATAAGCTTCCACAGATCATGGAACAGAGAAAGGACAACAATAACTTTTCATTTTCTTCTAAGGTTCCTTCTGGTTGACTTTCTCTGATTATATAATATTTCCTGTTGTTGGGTATACAAGAGGGGCTCCACAATTACCTGTGGAATGAATGACTTCAACTGTGAGGTGGAATATTAAGCAGCTAAGAGGAAACTGGCTTTTATGAGGCATGCGGCAGAATCAGGCCCCAGTCACCAGGGCTCATCCAACCTCACCAGGCACGGAGCACTTCTCCATCTAGTCCAGCAGACAAGAAAGAGGTCTGGTTGGCGTGTACCGACAGACAGCCTTTCTAGCCTGTTCAGGGCCAGGTTGACATCTCAATTCTGGCCCCTCGCAGTCTGAGCAGTTGCTGGCTGTCCACATCCAAGGGGTGGCAGGCCTGGCTTAGAATCATGAAAAGGCATTGGTAGGCTCCTGCCTTTTGAAGCAGCCGCAAGGCTAAACTGTATTCACAGTGGCCTCTAGCGGCGAATTTCTAAAATAGCGTGCTAAGTGGAAACTTGGCAGCTGAAGGAATCTTCTCAGAATGACCTAGATTCAGAAAATGAGGACTAAAAGGGGCCTAGTTTTGATCTTTGCTTGATGAATGAGGAAACCGAGTTCCAGAGGTAAAGTGATTCACCCAAGGTCACACAAAAGCCTCACATCTCCCTCCACAAACCTTGCCCCAAACTGGCCATCTGTGGTTTCAGATGCAGTTAGGGATCATGAATTACTCACTTGGAAGAACAGAGGATCCAATTTCTAAATCAGACCAAGCCAACCTCAGAGTGAGACTCAAGCGTGATTTCTTTCCCTGCACTTTGCTTCTGTCTTATCTGTAAAAGAATGTTGCTGCAAGGTCCCCCATCCTGGTACTTACCTGAAGAGCAGTAACCTTCTCTACAGGCACCAGGGCTCTGAGGCCATGAAGTGCTTTGGAGGCAGTAAACTCCACCATTTAAACAAATGTGCTTTTCAATGTTTCCTTCTCTCCACGTAGCAAGAATGTAGTGCCAGAAGGGGCCACGGTGACGGCTCAGATTGGCTTGAGGATCTGGGGGTAGGAATCATTTCCCTTGCACAGAGAAAGCTATTTTGACATATTCTGGAGACACAATCCAAAAATAAATCAAGCTGAGGACTTCCAGAGGGCTTAGTGGAAAGGCTTTGCTGCCAATACCAGCTGAAGCCTGGGTTTGGAGGCTTGGGGTAAAGTTATTTCTACAAATGGATCTCAATCTTTTCCTCACAGAGAACAAATTTTTATTTATTCATTCAGCAGTAACCTCAAAGAATTGCATAGGGTGCTGAGGGGACTCCCAGAGGAGAATAAGACACAGTCTTTGCTCTCAGAGGTTAACCCAGTGGGAAGAAGAGGTGTGCAAGGTCAGGCTGCTGGTGCGCTGGGATGAAGAGGCGGGAGAGGTATGTGGTGGCTTCAAGGGCCCCTGGGAATAACGAGAGCTGTTTTTTAATTTTATTTATTTTTTCCCCCAAAGCCCCAGTAGATAGTTGCATGTCATAGCTGCACATTCCTCCAATCGCTGCATGTGGGACGCGGCCCCAGCATGGCTGGAGAAGCGGTGCGTTGGTGCGCGCCCAGGATCCGAACCCGGGCTGCCAGTAGCGGAGTGCATGCACTTAACCGCTAAGCCACGGGGCCAGCCCAAGAGCTGTTTTTTAAATGCTGGTCCCTGTTTTAAATACCTATTCTAGCTCATTTAATCTTCACAATAGCCTTATGAGGTTAGGATCATTATCCCCATTTTATAGCTGAGGAAACTGACAGAGAAATTAAGAAACTTAATTCATCACGCTGCTGGTAAGTGATGAAGCTGGGATCTGAACTCTAGCCATCTGGTTCTGGAGCCTTTTTCCTTCAACGTCATCATTGCTGATGACATCTCCCCTGCATTTTCTGTGATGTCTACTAACTGTACAATCTCACGCACCCTGGTGCCCACAGGATCTCAGCGCCACATTCCACGGTCTGATGTCCACGGTGTACTAAAATAGGAATGGAAGACGAAGAGCACTATTTGTGAAGCTCAATCTTAGCAGGCAAAGTCAGGAGCTGTTCAAGAGCTGTTAAAGATCTTCACTCTCCCAAGATCACCGCTGGTCTAGGAGGCAGAAGATCTGGTTATGGTCCTGACTGCCCCATGCTCTGAGGAACCCCTGCCCCCAATTCCATGTCGGAGAAAATTGACCTCTAGGATCTCACTACTCAAAGTGTGCTGTCCAGACCAGCAGTCACCATCTCCTCGGAGCTGGTTAGAAATGCAGAATCTCTGGCCAGATGCTGAAACCAGATCTGCTTTCTAGTAGACTCCTCCACCGATTCTTGCGTGTGGTAAAGTGTGAGAAGCCCGGGGTCAGGGCCCTTGGGAGCCATGCACTTTATAGTCTGGGTGCCAAACTTCTTACCCATCCCAGGGGTACTTGTTTGAAGGCTTCTGTCATTGGCTTGTCTATTCTCAACTTTAAGCCTCCTCCAAAACGTCTAGAATCTCCTACTCTTCCCACCAAAGCTCTCTCTCTCCCATCCCTTGGTTAGCTCTGGCAGTCCCACAACCTATCTTCATTAATCTCCATCTAAGTGATAAACTCATCCTCGCCTTCTCCTCGTAAGCTACCCGGTATCACCTCAGTCTACTGAGAAGTGACTGAAATGAGCCATCTGTGCCCTAGCACACCCGATAATTTTATGAGTCTTGTCCTACCTGTACTTATCCTGAGAGGGTGTGGACACTCACATGACAAAAGGATTAACCAGGATTCCTTTTAAACAGACTCTCTTTACATGGAAACAGGAATTTCCACATCTTTGGCTAACTGGCAGAATCACTAGAAACTGTGAAACAATTCGAGTTTCACTCTGTGAAGTCATACCTTTATGAAAACTGGCACATGCCTGCCTGTGTGATCACCTTGGCATATGTTTGGTGAGCTTTTCCAGAAACAAGGAACTGCCTGTGCTGCTCTCCTCCCAAGTGTACTCACAACCTTCTTTACTTCTCAAAGGAGTGATAACATGTTTCCACCACTCCCCTGACCTAGGTGAAAGTGGGGATTTTCAGGATTATAATTCTGGGAGGTAAGTGGATGAGTGTCTTATTCCTTGCTCCAAGAGGTGGATCCAATTATGTCCACCCAGTCCAGGCTGAAAGAAATGGATTCCTACTTTCCCAGAACAGTACTTTGAACCTCAAAACCATCTCTGGGAAATTACAAAGTTATTTACATAGTTTGGTGTTGAGTTTGCTTTTTTGTTGTTGAGAGAAAAGAGAGAGAAGGATGGAGAAAGAGGTTGAACTTGGGGAATAGAACCTTGTCTGGCCAGTCCATAAAAGAAATCACCATTTCCAAAATACATAGAGTGATAAGGAGGAACATTTAAGGTACAATCCCCTCTTCGACCAAGGAGTGACCAGTTTAAGAAAGCAAACACCACAACACATATTGCCTCTGGGCCCACAGCGACATGCAGGTGTATCTCTTCCAAGTTCCAGGGATGGTTCAGGTCTCTCAGCACATTCCCCTGGTTAATCTACAGGTGATTCCCCCTCATTCAGAAATGCTAATAGATATCACTTAACTTCTTTCTTTAGTACTGCCTTTTTAAAGTCACACCTGCTCTCGAATGAGAGCAATCCACTGGAGATCCACAAATCTAATCTAAAACGCTGTAAAATCTTGAAGATGAGCCCTGCAATACTACTTGAGAGATTAAAATGGCTGCTAGAACCTCATACAATACTTAAAATCAGACCACAGCAGCAATTTTAACCATCAATGGCATTTTATTTTGGAAGTTTCTATGTATTACATAGGTATTAACTTCCTTTCTCTCACCATGCCCCCCCTAAAAAATCAGAATGATTAAAAAAAACAACGTATAAAAACTCTTTTCTAGTTTCTCTAAAGTCTTAGCTTAAAAACTTAAGTGGTGCTTCTCCTTTACAAGAATACTGCTTTGTAAGGAGAATTCAGTCTGTTCTTATGCTCACTACAGACTTCTACTCCTTCCTGGGGAAAAAATGGTCAATGCTTCTGCTTCCTTTTAATAAATTCATTTCTCGATTACTACACATTATCATTCCCCACTTGACACCTTCTTAGAATATTGATTGTTGGACGCATTTTTTATTTGGCAAAAATTCAATGTGGTTTTGCGTGGGATGTCTAAGTGTCAGAAACAGCAGTGTTGGTGTTCTTCTGGTTTTGAGAGGGAAAATATATAGAGATGCATACATTCCCGGGAACAACAAATGTAGGAGACTGAAATAAGGTATGCACAGAGTTAAGAAGGCTGATAGACATTACTTGATTTTGAATTCTGTGGCTGTCAGCCACCAAAGACTGCAGTGTAGGCCAGAATATAAATCCCCGCAGGAGGAGGTTTGGTTAGGCACTGCAAAATGACAGAGTTGGCTTCACTTTGTTCCAAGTGTATCAGAGCAGATGCACACTAGAAGGAGCAGTATGGGTCATCTACAGTGAGCAGTAACCTGTGAACGATCATGTATGGGCATTTCTGCAAATGCTCTGTCAACCTAGGCGCTGGGGGAAGAGAAAAGAAGCATCTTATTAAAATACACTTCCATCTCTAACTCACCCAAGACCCCAGGCCTCCTTAGCACTGCAATTTGCAAGGCCAAAATGAAGTTTAGAGTCACGTGTCATTCTAGACCATCTGGAAGCTGGTTCGCTGGGGCCATCTCAGAGGACCCGTGTGTGCCCAAGGGAGCAGCAAGTCTACCCAGAAGGGTATGCCTTAATGATCTTCACATCGTCCACAGGGCGGTCCTGAGAGTTTGTTTCCACCATTCCCACTCGATTCACCATTCCTATACCCTGGCACACACGGCCAAAAATGGTGTGTTTGCCGTCAAGCCACTGAGTGGGAGCTAGGGTCACAAAGAACTGGCTGCCGTTGGTATCAGGCCCTGCATTGGCCATTGCGAGAATTCCAGCCCCTGGTGGGAAAAAGGAAAAGAGGAAAGAGTATGAATAACCCCCACGGCTCCAGCCTGGAGCTGCTACACCATCCTAGGGACAAAAAGAAGCCAGTCTTTGTTCTGGCCTCTATCATCAACCACAGACCTAGATAACCTTTCCCCCAGGGAAGACTCTCTGCCCTTGCACAAACTCCATCGACTGCACACCCTGATGACCTCATCTTCCTTGCCTTCACCTACTCCTCAGCCTCTATCCATATGATCCCCACTAACTGCTGGACCATGTTCCCAATTCCCCTCAAAAATCCACCAAGGTCTCCTGCTTTTTTGAGGAAGCTTTTGTTTTCCTATAGTTTACAACGGCAACATTGAACAAGGAGGTAGAGTCTAGAACACTCAGACCAGCACTCTGAACTGTCCAGGACTCCGAGGGAGGCGCCGCTCTCTCTAATCCGCCAGGGCTCTTCGTGGCGCCGCAGCTGGGCAGCTACATGGCACCATGCCACAGTGTCAGGCATTCACCTTGAATCATAGCCAAAAGAGTGAGCTTTTAAAATCCATTCCCCCTTCCCACCCAGATTACACACTTACCCGTGAATTTCAAGTCCGGATGAAGTTCATCTTCAAACTGTTTGCCATAGATAGATGCACCACCTCGACCTGCCAGATCAGAAGACGAGAAACCAATCAGCCAGTCCCACATTCCACCTCCTAGCAAGAACCATGGCCCAGGATTTTTTAGAGTACAGGAAAGGAAAAGGCAGTGAGCACACCTAGCCTCCTGCTAGGTATACTGCAACCACACAGCCCAGCAGCAAAGTCAGGCACTGACACAGCACATTCAAATCACTGGTTTCATTCAAGTCAGACATTTCTTTTCAAAATAACACTAAGAGTGTTTTTTCCTGCTTATTAAAGTAATACATGTTCACTGTCAAAAATGTAGAAAACATAGAACATTTTATCAAGAGAACATTAAAGTCCCCTGTAATCTAACCATTTATAGATAACTACCATTTGTAGTTTGACGTGTTAAGAGGTTTCTTAATTTTTAACATTTTTATGAGTATTTTAGACAGGAGTGCCCCAAGCCCTACTCCTGTGCCTATCACTGACATTCTTCCCTGCTGAGCTTAGACTTGCCTCTGAATCCTTACCAACTCAGAACTCCAGGCAGACATTTTTAATGGATCAGAGATGGCATAAGAATTGAAACCTATTTGCTACCCTTAACCTAGATCAAGGAAAATAAAATTCATTTAAGTCAAAGATATCCAGCTTAAGGAGAAATAGGGACAGTGATAAGTGGCCAAGTGGCAGAGAGAAATAATATCACAGTAGGCAGAGCCCATTGAGAGGAGAGGTAGCATATCATAAGGAGAATATGAAGAACTATGGAATTAGGAATGATTTGTCAGCAACATCACTAACATATGTCATTTATATTATGTCCAGAAGAGTGGCATGTTGTGCAGGGCACTCAGGTTTTGTTCTTAGAGCAAAATGATATGTTAAATATGGTTCTTCCCCTAGGCAAAAATGTCCTAATAGGAGGTAACTCTCCTCATCAATTATTTAGTCAACCATATGCCTTGTTGAACTACTTTGGTTTCTCCAAGTTGACCAGCCAAGATAAAACAGCCTGGTACGTGGTGAATATTGGATTTACCAGCTTACTCTGCTTGCCTGGCAGCCAGAAAAGAGCCCAGACACAGGGAGCGCACCTCCTTCCACAGCCTGCTGTGCAAGTAGCATGTTAAAGCACCATGTCCAGCCCCAGGTCCCTGGGCCCAGCTAAGGTGTTTCCATGGTAAAAATCCTTTGCTTTACCTTTTAGGATGTTCCACCACAGGGAGCCTGTCACAGCCCCCGGTTCCGGAAGAAAACACTGTTCTCACGCAGAGAGGAACGGGGGTGAATCCTAACAGACTTGGGGAAACCTCCCACCTGGCCCAGGCTACCTATGCTTCTGGAAAATTACTGAACTACCAAACTATGTAAAAATTCATTTCCAAAATTCCAATCTGCCAGTATACTTCCAAACAGTAATTATATAACCAACATGTTCCCTCTGACTACAGAGTCAAGGCTCCTGCCTGACGTTGTGGGGAGGGGGTGATTAGTGGAAGTGCTAGGGCTCAAGACAAGAGAGGAGAAAGAGAGCTGTGGGGGAAAACTGAGGTCAAGCCCTCCTTCCAGGGCTTGAGCGAGCAAGCTGAGGATGAAGGTCAGTAGTGCGCTGTCAATCCTCAGGCTGAGCCTTGGAAGCGTGATCCTGCAAGCTGAGGGCTGCCAGAATGAAACCTCAAGGCCTCTACCTTACAGGAACTGAAAGCCATCACATAAATGGCACCACGAACAAGAAGACAGCTACAGAACAGGCCAGTCAGGAGTCACAGACGAAGCCTGGGGTTTTAAGCGATCAGAAGGAGATGCGAGCAAAAGAGCATGGATGCCCCTTTTTACTCACCAGGCATAGTGTGACCAATTGCAACTAGTTTGGGTCTCTACAGCACCATTTACTCGTAATATGCTATCTTTTCATAACCTAATTCAACTCAGTAGGGTTTGCAGCAAAATGTCAGAAAGACAAATAATTCTAATCAAAACATTCCTTTGGGCATGTGGAGTAGGGGAGAGATGGTAGGAGGACAGGAGGTGATTAGAGTTCTCTGGTGCAGAGCAGGCTACACAGATGTCAAGGATCACTTACAAAGCTGACAATTTGGAAGCTTTGCAGTCAAAAACTTGCTGTGTGCCTGGTCTAGTACAGATACACCAGAGATTGGCACAGACCTGTTTCCTTTTTTTTTTTTTTTGTGAGGAAGATCAGCCCTGAGCTAACATCCATGCCAATCCTCCTCTCTTCTTTTTGCTGAGGAAGACTGGCCCTGGGCTAACATCTGTGCCTATTTTCCTCCACTTTATATGGGGTGCCGCCACAGCATGGCCTGACAAGCGGTGCCTCAGTGCACGCCCGGGATCCAAACCTGGACTGCCAACAGCGGAGCGCGCGCACTTAACCGCTACACCACGGGGCCAGCCCAGACCTGTTTTCTAAATTCTGTACTCTCAAAGTTCTTTTACTCTGCTGTCCTCACTTTTAAACATTTATTCAATGTATTTAATATTTCAGACGTACAAAAGATACAAAGAACAATATGACAAACAACTATGCACCCTCCCCTCAAGAAATAAAGTGTGGCAAATCCAGTGAAGACCCCATGAACACACCCCCTGCATCCCTCCCCTCCTCCGCACTCTCCCACTAGCTAACAACTGCTTCCAAGAATCACATTTTCCTCCCAGGTAACCACTATTTTGACCAGAAGTTTGTCATTTCCATGCATTTCCTTTTTTACTATATATGTACGCATGCCTAAAAAAAGCATTGTTGTTTTGCATGTTTTTAGGTTTATATAAATGGTATTACACTCTAGAGATTCTTCTGCAATTAGGTGGTTTTGGTTCACCATTGCAAGTGATAGTCATCCATTTTGTTCCATGCAGCCCTCTGTAGGATTCTTTCCACTGTATGATTACAAACCAATCTTATCTTTTCTCATGTTGATGGGTACTCAGGATCTTTCCAATGTTTTTGCTAATATAAACCATGCTGCAATAACCATTCTTTTTTTTTTTCTTTTTTTTGTGAGGAAGATCAGTTCTGAGCTAACATCCGATGCCAATCCTCCTCTTTTTGCTGAGGAAGACTGGCCCTGAGCTAACATCCGTGCCCATCTTCCTCTACTTTATATGGGACGCCGCCACAGCATGGCTTGACAAGCGGTGCGTTGGTGCGTGCCCGGGATCCGAACCTGCGAACCCCGGGCCACCGCAGCGGAGCGCCTGCACTTAACCGCTATGCCACCTGGCCGGCCCCTGCAATAACCATTCTTATACTGTCTCCCAAACACAGTGCAGCAGCTCTCAGGGACTACACCTCTTGGGGGACATGCAGGGTCACAGCTTATGAGTATTTCACTATCACTAGATTTTTCTGATTATCTTGCCAGAGGTGGCGCCAATGTGCACCCACCCAGTGCTAGCTCTCTCTTACTCTTCCTGCTCTAGGTCCTTCCGCCAGACTTCCTAACATTTGTCAGTCTGAGAGGTGTCAGATCTCTTGTAGTGTTTTCACCCGCGTTTCCCTTAAGTGCTACTTGTCCCCACGGCTCCCATGCCACAGCTGATGGGACCATGGATTAACATCCAGCCCCAAAGCAGCCACAGGTGGGCCAGTGACTCATAAGGAGGCCCCATGAAAGCTCTGCCTGGGGCATTTGACACCAGAAGGCAACTGACCAAACCAATCAAAGCCTCTCTTCTGGCCAGAGAGCCTCCAACAGACACTGCAGGCTAGCTGTCCTCTGCACATTTCCAGCCCCTCTCCACAGCCTGCCTCAACCTCAAAGGCAAGGAAGCCAGGTACTGACCAATCCCTTCTGCAGCTAAGGGTAGCCAGATGACCCAGTTCTGACATACTGACATAACAGAGAGCTACAGCTTTCCTGATAAAAAGGGACAAACACACTCCTTTGTCTTTTACCCACAGCTCTTTCCCCATCTTCCTTCTTTGAAAGCAGAGGTGATGTCAGGAGCAGCAGCAGCAGCCATCTTGCAACCATAAGACAAGTTTGAGATCAAAGACCAACACATGAAGAATGGGAGTAGAAAGGCAGCAAGCCTGGGTCCCTGACAGCTCTGCTGGGCAGCTGAACCAATGCCTGCAACTGCTTCCCTCCAGACATTTTGTTAAGTGAGAAAAACAAAAGCTCTTTGTTTAAGTCATTGTGGTTGAGTTTTCTGTTACTTGTAGCCAAAAGCATCCCAAATTGATATAATCACTTTGCTACTAACAGAGTCGGAAGGGGGAACTGACTAGTGGAGCTGCTGGACTACCAGGGCAAATGCCAGATACTAGATCTAACGTGGGAAACAAGGCTACAGTTCTCTAAGAAGCTTTGCAGTTCTTAAGATGGAGTCCTCTCTTTCTCACTTGCCTCAGGGGTCAAAGAGGATCTGGATTTCAGTTCTGACTCCACCACTTACTAGCTGAGTAACGTTAAGCAAGATACTTACCCTCTCTAAGCCTCAGCTTCCTTGTCTATAAAATAGGAATAGTAGTAGTACTTAAGCCTCATAGGATTGTTATGAGAATTAAGTGAGATAATGCATGGAAACCACGTAGTGTATAACATGAAGCAACCGTGAAAGCTTCCAATTGGTCTCCTTGCTTCCAGCCTTGCCTCCCCCTTTCCACACGGGTCTATTCTCCACCTGGAAGCCAGGCGGATCCTTTTAAAACAAATCTCATCATGGCAGTCCTCTGTTCAAAATCCTCCAGCGACATTTCACCACCCTTAGGACAAAATCCAGTCTTCACAATTTACAAGACTCTCCATGACCTAGTGCTCTGCTCCCCTCCAGAGTTATCTCCTCCCCTCACTCACCTGCTCCGGTACACTGGCCTCCATGCTGTTTCCTGCCAACACACTCGTCTAAAGCCTCCAACTGCTGTTCCCTCTGGAGCGTCCTTGCCCCTGCAGTCTCATGGCTCACTACTTCACTTTATTCAGAGGCCTGTTCAAATGCCACCTTACCAGAGAGGTCTTCCCTAATCATACTATCCAAAATAGCATGCCCTCACTCTGTATTCC